ATTAAAAAAGATATATGGGGAAATGGAATTAGAGTTTATTTTGGTGCAAAATTGTTTGAAATCCATGCATAGTTTTTTCATAACATGCATTTTCTATGAACTTTTTGAAGATCTCCCAATATACCCTCTTGAGGGGAAGCGCTGTCCTCTGCGCCTGCATTCTAACCTTTCAAAGCCCCATCCATGACCCGCTCACACCAGCACGCTGATCGAACCCAGTCCCTGGAAGACAACTGAGGGGCACCCTGTCCCACCTTGCACTCAGTCACACTCTGAATTTCTGCAGGCACTCATTGGAATCAGCAAAGCAAAGGAGGTTAGCTAGCTAGGAAATACTGTCACAAGTGAAAGACAAGAGACTAAAAATGTAGACCGATGTACTGAGTGAACAGTCTTTTCAGGGCTCTACTGACAGAAAAAGCAATGAAAAAGGCAGACTAATTGCTAGGATATGCAATTCACTCTGACTTGCCATTTAATTAAAGGAAAAAACTGAGATGACAACAAACGTTTCTTCATTTAAAAAAATTTTATTATCCTTCTTATTTTTTAAACATTTCATCACTATCTATCATTTGGCTTATAAAGAGAATTTACCCAATGTGAAATACATCTCAGAGCAGTCTAGTTGAGAATACTATACATGTGATCATCAATGGGTAATGAACCATTCCTTTTTTTTTTTTTAAGAGGTTTTTGCTATAGGGCGTGTGCACTCGCCAGACAGAGAGAGAGAGAGACAGAGAGACAGAAAGCGAGAAATCACCCCCCAAGGGGGATGGCCACGCCGCAATCCCTTCTCCTCCATTCTCCTCTTGGGATCTTGGGCATGCACGCACACGCACCCGACGTGAATTTAAGCCACCGGGTCCGGGACGCGAACCGCGGTTGACTACGTGGGAATCCAGCGACATAGCCATTATGCTAACTGCTGGTCCCGGTAATAAACCATTCCTGTGTCCCACAAATGCTATGGCTCTATTTTTTTCTCCCTGATTTTCTTCCCTGTACTTTTCCCTGCCCCCCACTTCCACACGGTCTCCAGTGTCTGTAACTATTTTCACTGCTTTTATGTCCTCCAATATTTCAATCTCTACCATGGAGTGTGGATCGTTGGTAGACATTAAGTGGAGACATACAATGAGATGGCAACAAATTTGAAGTATTTTTTGTAGAGATTTCTAAATGATGAGAATTAAAAAAAGATACAAACACTCACTCACATACCTTTTAAACGTCCTGTTCTCCTAACATCTCAAGCAACGCAGCCTTGGGAACCAAAGACCTCCTTGACTGTCCCAAGGGTCATACTAAGCATGGGGTTAAAGGATCTTATTGTTTTCTTGGCTTCCTGATGATCCGTCCAAGCTGCATGAGGAAGCAGGAGCATACACATGTGTGGGAGATCCTTACTGACATCTTGGAGTGAGTAATGTGTCTGTCTCCGCATTACTTAAGGGGGTTCCTACTCAGTCACCCTACTAGGCTCCATATGAAGGACTATTTCTCAAGTCACAGTGTATTTTCTCAATGTTATTTTCCTCTTTTTAAAATTTGTATATATATTTTTGAGAGTTTTATGCTATAGGGCTCGTGCACTTGCCAGAAAGACAGAGAGACAGAAAGCGAGAAATCACCCCCCGTGGGGAGGGCCACGCTGCAATCCCTTCTCCTCCATTCTCCTCCTGGGATCTTGGGTACGCACGCACACGCACCCAGCATGACTTTAAGCCATCAGGTCTGGAACTCAAACTGTAGTTGACTACATAGGAGTCTAGCGATGTAGCCATTAGACCATCTGCTGGTCCCTAAAATTAGTATTTTTAACCATTTCACTTCAAATCCCTCTGAGCCAGCTTCACTATAACTTAGTTCCATTAACTGCTACTGAACAATAAAGTATCCAAACCTACGGACTTATAACAAAAAACATCTTGTTTGTGGTTCTGTGGGCTAGGAATTTGTTAAGGCCTCAGGGAATGGCTTTTCTCTGCCCTACATTATCTTTGGCCTCAGCTGGAAGGGGCTGAGCCACCGAGAGCTGGTTGGACCTCTCTCTTCTCCTGGCATCACCTGGCACGACTCAACTGGGACTTGAGGATCGAAGGCTTCACTCCAATGTCTGGGCACTTTGGTTTTCTCCCAGGTGGCCTCTCATCACTTGGTAATCTAGACTGACATTTACAGGGTGACCAGCTTCCGCGAGTGAGAGCAGGTGCTACAAAGCCTCTAGAGATCTAGGCTTGGAAGTCTCAGAATGTCACTCTGAATTCTATTAATCCAAACAAGTCACACAGGTCACAGGCCAGACCACATTCAAGGGGTGGGGAAATAAATCCAAACTCTTGATGGGAAAAGGGACATTTGTAAACAGACATAGGAGAAAGAGCTAGCAGCCATTTTTGGAAACAAACTCCCATTCCTTTTAAGAGCTAATTAGATATGTTTAGCCCTGCTCATGAGAGAAAGCTAAGACTCAGGCCTCCCCTTCCACAGAGGCATCCCAGTCTTTAGGTAGGTAGTTCAAGGGTTGACACTTTCCATTAGTTTCTACCACTGGGAGCAGGGGTCGGGGGGGCAGGCAGGATGACCAGTAGAGTGCAATTCTGTACTAAGATCAACTCATCTGACTGCTTTCTGTTCTCCCTATCCAAGCTTCAAATAAGCTATACACCACTTTCGGCTTTCTTCCGTGAATCAATATTTTGATCATTTTTAGCATTTTTAGAATTGGTGTTCTTTGATGACTTACCCGACCCGTGAATGATTTTTCTCCATAAGATGGTATATTTTACTAACACTTTGTAAATACTTAAAATGCTTAACTGATTAAGGAGAGCCTTATTCTTACTGTCTTCAACACTAGCCCTCTGAATACCTTCTGAGAGTAACTTTTCTGAGTTTTACATGTGTTTGCATATGCTATTCATGGCGGTTCCTCCAGAGGAAATGTATTAACCTTAAGGCTGGCAGATGGTGTGGTGGTTAAGGGTGCTGGACTCCCACATGGTCGACCACGGTTCAAGTCCTGGACCTGGTGGCTCACCTCACTTTCCATCTCTTTTGCTCTCTCTCATTCTGTACCTCTCTGGTCCAATTAAAATAAATAAAATGAAATAAAATAATTTAAAAAGAGAAATGCATTAGCCTTTACTGCTATTTCCATGAAGGCTTATTTTATTATTTTTTTTTAAATAGAGGTTTTTGTCTTAGGGTGCACGCGCTCACCAGAGAGGGGGAGAGAGAGAGAGTCAGTGAGAGGGAAAGTGAGAACTCACCTCCCAGGGGGCATGGCAGCAATCTCTTCTCCTCCATTCTTCTCCTGGAGGAGAATGCACACATGCACATGCCACACGGGGTGTGAGTTTCGAGTCACGGGGTCCAGGATGCAAACCTTGGTCATCCATGTGGGAGTAACCACTACGCCATCTGCTGACACCCCTTCTCCCCTCCCACGAAGGCTTCTAATGTTTGTATCCATTCCTTGTTTATCTTCTTTTGAGTCTGTGTTCACAGTTGATCACCTTATAGTAAGCCATGATACTTTCATACTATTCCATTACCTGATAGAAAGAAACTTCACAGTGAATTCAAAGAAAAGACACAAAAAACTTTTGCTAAAGATGTCCTATATACATATATATAATATTTTATTTTAAAATGTCATGGAGCATATACATTTCTTTAGCTTTTTCCAGGGGACATTGCACCTAAGTTTCCAAACACACAAAATAGATCCCCTTTACTAAACAGTTTTCATTTTTGGGTTACAAAAGTCAATGTTTCACAATCACGAAGCAATAAAGGTACATGGTTTTGAAACCACTTCCAGGCAGAGTCCTCTCGTTCACTGTATGCAGGATAATTCTGGAAACATTCCTTATAAATGATTTCCACCATGGGCCTTCCTGGGTCTCCAGAAGAAACAAAGAAAATTGGAGGCAAAACAGGAGTAAAAGGGTAACCTCAGGACTCCCCGAACAAACACGAAGTACTCATGGGCTGTTGGAAGAGGGGGGAACACAGGGTGTTCGTTCTTCCAGTACATCACAGTAGGAAGCAACGGCACATTCACAGCCCGATTTGGTCACTGTCTACCAGGTCGCTACATGAACAAAACTTCATCTAAAACGCAGAGGAAAAATGAAAGCTATTTACACAGATAACATCGTGGATTAGAAAGAGCAGTCCACCCCAGACTGGTGTTCACATCTGACAAAGAGCCGTGGGTGCTCATGTAGTGTCCTTTCACAATTCCCAGTGCACACACACATGTCCCATCACCCACGCAAGGCCAAAGTGTGCCTAGAGAGGTGAGCTGTGGCATGCAGGCTGCAGCAGCTCCCTGCAGTTCCAAGTCCTCAAAGATCTAAGATCCTTACCTAAAATTCTGTCCTGTGACCAGAGACTGCTTTTCTGTGTTCTTAGATCTGCTAACTTTAGGGTCAGCTTGGTTGTCCTTTGCATAGACGATGACTCTCATTCCTTTCTTAAAGTGTCCCAGAAGAACCAACTTACTGAAAATAGAACCTCATCAAAGCTAAACATATTGACTATGATAACAGTGGAGCTGCTGGGTCACTTACGGAAAGGCTAGATCATCAAACTGGTGGGAAGAAAACCATTGACCACTGGTGGCTTTATACATAAAGCTGATCAGGAGATGAGGAAGGAGGTGAAGAAGCAGACAGACATCAAGAGGAGAATCAGAATTTTAAAGATGCAGGAGACTTCTCCCAAGTGTTTCCATGTTAATGCTGTCGGTACACCGAAAATCAAATCAAAACAAAACAAAACAAACAAAAAAACTTCTGTCCAAATGGCCAAGATCTGAGGCTGAATCTGGGTTCTAGGACTCTCTTTCTTGCTAACCCATATCTGCCTATGGCTATAATTCTCCCCTAGAAGTAAGTGAATACTTGGAGGGAAGAGAAAGAAGAGGTGGGCACAGCTAACTTCACAAAGACCTGTGGAGGTAAGTTGCTAGGAGTTAAAAATTAAACACCTCAAATACTCCAAAGCTGAGCAATAATAAAAAATAACTGAGAGCTCCACTTGTCTAGACTTTGTCCTACTAGACAGCAGAGTACTTGTCCCAGCCCAATGTTCACCTTTGCCTTCCCCCTTTAAGAACAGCAGTTAGGCATAGCCACAGTAGAAGCCCCATTGCCACCCCACCTCTCTGACTGCTGACACTGCTCTGATTTCAGGTGCTATAAGAACAAAGCTTTGGTTGTGGTCTAACACTGCAGTGTTATGGATGCACTGTGAGCTTACTCTCTTTAAGGAAGAGTACCTCTGAATAGTCTGAAGGACAGGGACCAGCCCAACAAAGAGATTTAGAGCTGAAAGAGCCTTTCATTAGAGGAAGTGGCCACACACACCTCGAGACAATTCTAAAGACTTGATTAAGAAATCAAAAGCTTTTTCCTAAACAAGACTTCCTCTGAGGCTATCAGGTCAGGACACGCACATTTGGTTATACATTAGATACACAAGATTTCAGAACCTTGAGTGTGTTGTCTTTTGATCTTACCAGGAATGCTCCACGGGCTAACCTGTTATGGAGACACCAGATACTGATCTGGGATGGCGTGAGTTGGGCCCTGGGTGAGAAACAAGACCCACACCAATAAGCTCAATTCACAGAGCAATTTCAGTGCTGGTTAATTTGGCTACAGGCATTAACTAATCATTTTTTCTACTTTTGATTTATTCACTTCATTTATAATCTTTCTGCCATCCCCTAAAACATAAATATGGCTTTAGCTTGCTACTAAGATCTTTTCACTCAACATAGCTTATGAAAAGAATTCCTGGATATCTAAGTATAGCCAGCAGGACGAAATGCTCAAGATTTTAGGATAATTTGAATAAAAAGTTTCCAGAGTTTTTCCTGAGACATGCGTTGGCAGTAAATGTAATAGTGAATTGAGTAGAAGGCGGTCATGATATCTACTTGAAATTTCAACTCTGGTAGCTTGGAGAAAACTAGAGAAGCTCAAGGTAGGGCCCAGATTGAGGTCCAGGTAAAGGAAAGAACCAGAAGGCAATAGAAACACGGCAAAGCTCTCAAAGGCAGCAGCTTCTTCCATAGAAGACTTTCTCATGTTTCCAGTTGGTATGTAACTTTGAATCAGAGCAGGAGCAGAAAGCCGGTCACACTGCTGTGGGTGCCTGATGGTTTCCTCTTGGCATCATTTTCTGCCAGGGAAGCAATGGTCTACCATAAATTGCTCCTCACAGAGGCACTGGGTAGCTACAGTTTACTGAGAAAGGTGGGAACCCTGGCAGATGAAGAGGACTCTTGACAGGGCAGTAGTCCAATTCTCCCCAGGCAACACTTTGGCAAACACCTGGTGGGTGCATTCCCACAGTACTTCACCTGTCAGTCAAGGTCTCGTTTCCACACTGGAATGAATTCTAGGCTCTGAGCCTTCTCTAAGAAAATAATCTTTAGCTCTAGGAATTCCGGTGATCTACTACTCTGAAGGAAAGGTTCTGATCCTCTCCTTTAAGGAAAGCATTCAATTCAAACAACCTGAGGACTGGAATTGGTTCTCCAGCATTTTGGGAGATGGTACCAATGGCTTTCTTAATTGGGTCAGAAGAGTGTTTTAATTTACACACAATTGTTCAAACAGTGACAACATGCCAGTTGCTCTGCAGGAAGAAGACTAGGTCATTAGATGTTGTTCTACAACATCCCCCAGTTTACAGAGTAGTCTGCCTAGAAGACAAGTGATTTTACAGATCAACTTTGTCATTCCTCCTGGCATGGAAACAGCAGACAGATGTGATGTCCACTGTGTCTGCTCAGGTGAGGACATACAGAGGTGGAATGACAGTGGGAATCGAGGTCTCACTTCTCAGGGGCCCAGGACATACTTACCTGGAGGAGGGACAGGGAGCATAACATGGTAATGACCAGTCAACCCAACTCAAGTTCACTTTCATTAAAGGACCATCCTGAGTGGGCCCTGCACAAAGAAGATGGGGAAAGGGAAACAGCTGCTCCTTGACAGAACTCTGACGCTTCCTCTTTGTTTGGAGTGGCTCTGGGGACAGTTGTGGCCCAAGTAACCTGAATCCTAAATGACCTTTAGTTGAGGTATAGTGAGCTGACAGATACAAGGAGCTTTCCTAAACTGCTCCGTTAACACTGTGTTACATATGTCCACATATGGCAGGTCAAAGAGGGCCAACCGTCCCAGAAATAAAAATCCACTCTCACAGAGAAAGCTCAAGCCATACAAGGGGACCACGGAGGACACTAGAAAGACTGATGGCCCAAATGAACACCCATATTTTCATGAGAACACACTGATTTGGTGAGAAAATGCATCTCAGGAGCAAATGTTACACAACAAAGATAGACTCTGCCATGCAGGGCTCTGCTCCTGTGGCTGCCTGGGTAGTAGGACAGGAGAACATAGGGACATCCCAGCCTGGGCTGGATTTTGGCGCAAAGTCCTCAACAAAAATCTGGATAGTCTAGTCCTGTTCTGTGGAATGGAAAAAGTAAAGACTGAAGAAAAGTCAAAAAGGAAAAAAAAAAATCCCTGCCTCACCTCACCTTCACCACAAAGGAATGGAAAGAGAGAAAGAAAAAGAGAAGGAGGGAGAGAAGGGCAGCAGCAATCCCTGAAATAAATCTTGGGCTTACTAGAAGGTGGGCGCTTCCACTTTCTGAGTCATGGTCCCCAACTTCCCAATGCAGCACTCTTAACCCGTAGAGAAGCTGGCAGCTTGACAGGCAGGAGAGTCTTCTGCCAGTTACACCTGAAAATGGCTGCCCCAGCTACTCTGGATAAAATAAATAGGACATATGTGCCTAAAACAGGCAATGGCCACCTAGGAGGCCCCTGCTAGGAAGCAACAGAAATATAACACTCAGTAGCAGCCTTTGTGTTTTGCTCTTGTTGAGTGTCCAGACCTGTTACTAAAGAAGAAATGAAACCTAAGGGTCATCTTGAAGCATAGCCAGAGGGCTTCTGGCAGCACACACCCCACCTATCTGGAAAGAGATTGCATCATCACTTGGACACAGCTGGGCACTTCCCATTCTGCCCTGCCAAGAGGCAATCCCAGTGTTCTTCCCCTCTGCCCTCCCAATCCCCTGGGCTGTTTTCATGACAGTTTGTTTCCATGTATTAAAGGAATGACATATACAGAAATGTCATCTCCTGAGCCCAGTCGGTCATTAGATATCCGCCATCCTCTGTCTTTCAGCACTCCTCGGGCACGCATCACCAGGTCCTGAGCTGCCAGTGTGTACCTGTGCAGGGAGAGGCAGGATAAGAGAGTCAGTACAGCCTCAGGCAGAAGCTGTGGTCAGGCAAGGCTGGAAAGGAGGAGGCATCACTACAGTTACATAAACAGTTTTCAAATGCTCTTAAAGCTGGAAAAAGCCTAGGTCATTTTCTCCCAAATGTGGGATGCATGTGTGAGATTATTTTTAGGTGATAGATGGACGAGGCATCAAATTCTTTAAATAACTCCGAAAATTATTCTGCTGCTCAGTCCTCTTTTGGTATTTCCGTTTACATAGGGAGAGTCTTGGTTATATGCTATTGTAGTTTATGTTAAAAAGATTGCTCAGGCTCAGAACTTTCCACAGCAAACAGCAGCTAGCTAAAAAAGTGAACAAAAAATTGTTTTCAATATATTTGTTTTTAGGGCTATATTCTTTTTGCGACCAAAGATGGCCACTTTTTGTTTATAGGGATAAATCTTTTATTAAAAAAATTATTATTATTTAAAATTTGCTGTAGAGCATGTGTGCTAACCAGAGAGAGAGAGACAGAGAGATGGAAAGAGAGAAAGCAAGCTGCCAGGGCCAGGACTTGATCCATGGTCAGCCACATGGGAATCAAGGGTTGTAACCACTATGTCACCTGCTGACCTACCTGATTAAGTCTCCTTTTAAAACAAATTTGTTTTAAAAAAGTTGATTTAAAGAAAAAATATATTTTAAGAGAGATTTTTGCTATAGGGTACATGCTCTTGTGAGACAGACAGAAAGCAAGAAATCACCCCCTGGGGGGCGGGTATGGCCATACCATAACCCCTTCTATTCTCCTCTTGAGATTTTGGGCATGCATGCACACATGCCCAGTGTGAGTTTTAAACAACCAGGTCCAGGACTCAAACTGCAGTCAACTACGTGGGAATCCAGCAACATAATCATTATGTCATCTGCTGGTCCCCTAAAGAAAAATATTAATAGTACACATGGCATGGAAATTCAGCAAGAGTGTGAAGGTTTCTTTTGGTAAGTGACTGATAAACCTTGGTGTGTGTGAGCTGTTCCGTTCATCTTTATCAATACTACCCTCTCCTCTAGACCAACAAGCAAGAATGGTGAAGGACCCCTTAAGATCAGCAATGCTGAGGACACTTGAGAAGGCTCCAGGTTCCCATGTTGGAACCTGAGGTTAGAAGTCTCCCTGGGCAGGTGCCTATGTTCCTGATTTTGGCTGGCTGAGACTGGGGGTGGATTGTGGCATGACATTTTTTTTTTTTTAAGTTTTGCTACAGGGTGCATGTGCTCACGGGGGGAGGGGGAGAGAGAATATGAATGAGAATCACCAGGGGAGATAGTCATGCTAGGATCCTTTCTCTTCCATTCTCCTCTTGGGATTGTGGGCACTCACGTACACGCACACGCACATGGTGTGATTTTCAAGCCTCTGGGACTGGGACTCCTACTATGCAGTAAACCATGTGGGATTCAGCTACTTTAATCACCATGGCACCTGCTGGCCCACAGCATGAAATCTTATTGGGGATGCCTCTTAGTTTCACTCTCTGTCTTAGAAGAAATAAACTTAAAAAGAGAATTTTAAAAGAAGTTTGCTCACTGAGATTTAAAGTATGAACTTAAAGAAAAGAGAAAGACGCCAGAAGCTAATGGGCTAACTTGGAAGCTGATTTGGGTGGGTGTGGGCATGGGTGCGTACATTAAAAAAAGGGCAAAAAATGAGACCTAATGATCTCAGAGTGTAAAGATTCAAGTCACAGTTTTGAGAACCAAGTCTACTCCTATAGCCAGGCAGCAGACAGAAGTGTACGGTCCAGGACAGAGGAGAGGATATCAGAGGTAGTACAAAACAAGGCCTTTCCTCCTGGAGGGTCCGTAGCGGGTAGGAGAGAGACCTTTTTTGCTTCCCAGATAGAGAGAATTATAACTTTGAGGCAGAAATCTCCAAGTTATATGTGAAGAAAGATTCAACCAGTTAGTCCTCTGTGAGGGTTCTCCTGAAATAAACAGAAAAGAGCCTTTGGCTAAAGAGCCTATTTAATGTCTCAAAATCCACACCCTGCAGTTCACACTACACTCTGAGGAGCCTCTCCACCCACAGTTACTCTGTGTTAGTATACCTGAGATGCACCTACATCAGGAACAGTCACCAGGAATATCAGAATGACATTTATTTTCCTGGATACTGGCTAAGCTCCGGACCTCTGTGTTTCAGGTTTGGAAACAGTTGCGTCATAAACAGAGGGGATTCTTCTAGTGGAGCCGGAGACACCTGAATCCAGTTCACAAGCAGACTGACATAGAAAATATGACTGACAAGAAAAGAAAAACATTCCAATATGTCACCAAACAAACAAACAAAAACCCTGAAAACCGAGGCTAGCCCATACACAACAGTCAGGTGCTGTTTGCATAGGAAGTTTGATTCCATATGGCTGAGGGTGGTTTGAATCCTGGTCTTGGATGTTTGAAAAACATGCCAGGAACATGTCTATATGGGCAGTGAATCCTGATGGGATGAAGTAATGGAAGAAAAATGACAGCAAAGCCAGGCAGTAGCATGATGGTTAAGGGAGCTGGATCCCTCATCGCTGACTGCATGGTTCGCATCCAGGACTCAGTGACTTGAAAAATGTGCTGGGCGTGTGTGCATGTGTGCCCAAAATCCTGAGAAGAGAATGGCATGGCTATCCCTGCCGCCCCCCCCCCCCCCCCGACAGGGTGTATTTATTTTTCTTTT